CTGAAAAGTGTTACACCCTGGTCTGTGTAACCCCAGAAGCACTCATAGTATGGTCTGTGTGACACCAGGAGTGTGTGTATACCCAGTCTGTCTGACCCCTGTGTTTCCAAACTGCACGCTGCGGGACTCAGTGGGAGTCCACATCCCATCCTGTGTTATCCCAAGTGGGCCGGCACCCCAGTCCGGCAGACTTTCAGAGTGTCCAGACTCCTGTCTGTGTGACCCCAGGAGTTTCATACCCCACTGACAAAGGAGAGAAGGAATGAATAGATAGATTTCATTTCTGCTGCTGATAATTAGATAAATGTAGATTCCAATAAGTTTTTATAAACACAGGTACTTGTAAGTAAGCTAAATTAAAAACAGGAGATAGAGGGGCGCCTGGGTGGCTCAGTGGGTTAAAGCCTCTGCCTTCAGCTCAGGTCATGGTCTCAGGGTCCTGGGATCGAGCCCCACATCGGGCTCTCTGCTCAGCAGGGAGCCTGCTTCCCCCTCTCTCTCTGCCTGCCTCTCTGCCTATTTGTGATCTCTCTCCCTCTGTCAAATAAATAAATAAAATCCTTAAAAAAAAAAAAAAAAGGAGATAGAAATTTCAAAACACCTGAAAAAAAAGAATCAATAACAAAAAGTAGACCACTAAGGAAATATCAAGGAAGCATGAAAAGAGCTGAAAACATAGGGCACCTGGCTGGCTCAGCCGGTGGAACGTGCGACTCTTGATCTCAGGGTCGTGAGCTCAAGCCCCCGTTAGGCATAATTGCTTCTAAAAGTTTAAAATTTGGGGGGGCACCCGGGTGGCTCAGTCAGTTAAGTGTCTGCCTTCGACTCAGGTCATGATCCCAGGGTCCTGGGATCGAGTCCCACATCGGGTTCCTGGCTCAGGAGAGAACTGCTTCTCCCTCTTCCTGTGCTGCTCCCTCTGCTTGTGCTCATTCTCTCTCCCCCCGACAAATAAATAAATAAAATCTTAAAAAAAAATTTAAAAAGTTAAATAAGATCTAAATCTTATTTAGATTTAGATGAATGATTCAGAAAGATATTTTCAATGATAAATACAAAAGTGAGAAAAGAGCAGTTGCAATATACATTCAAGATAAAATTAAGGGAAAAAGCAGTAAACACACTAAAAGGACCCTTTTTATACATCAAGGGCATGCTCAGTTGAAAACATAACAGTCACGAATTTCTGTAGTCCGCATAACAGAGACCAAGCCTTTAGCTAAAGGAACAGAAGCCAGCCAACAGGATCCTTGCCAACTCCTTCACAGGGCTGGGACAAGTGCAGCAGTGTTCACACCAGACATTGAAAAATGGAATAGGCTTCTAAATTAGGTTTAGCAGGTAATGGAGGGAAATAGAGGAAGTGGACACATGGTCTACCCATTTTCCCAGCGTTGGGCCCAAGGACGGATACTTTTGCGGCCTTGGATGTTGTCCCTTGTGGTGAATATGAGAGGCCACAGGTACCATGTGGAAGGATCCTATTAGATCTTGACAACCCTAGGTCCATCTTCAGGTGCTTAGTCAATGGGAGAAATCACTGATGGTCACATTCCACCCCCAGGCTCAGCTGAGTGAAAAAGACAGGCACTACCCAATTACCCAACCACAGGAAACCCTCAGATTGCTAGAAGGAGAAAAAAAATTATTCTGCGATGTCCCTTAAATCAAAGGAGCTCTGTTCTGATCGGCCTGTAGAGATAGAGATGCACTGGTACAAATCAAAATTCCCCAACGAAGGTAAATCTTTGGCAAATGAGACTCGTTTAATGGTTTGATTTCATAAAAATAATCACGCTTTCTCTGATTGTCGATGGTTGGTGTAATACAAGTAGGCATTTTGTTCTAGCTGGGTATGTTTTTTTCCTAAATGGAGACAGGTTCACGGATCAAACAAGCTAGTCCTCCTCCATTTAATGGAAGATGAGGAAAAACTGAAGACTTGACTGGGTCTGGGGCAGGGGGTTCATTTCTGAGAGGTGCCTCTGGTGTGACTGGCTGGCGTGGATGTTAGCTGCTGGCCCGGGGTGTGCCTCGATTCTCTTCCCCGCACCCTCCCTTCCTCCAGAACTCTCTTTCTCATGTAGCCTTTCCAATAGGAGAGCCTGGACTTCTTGACATATTGGCTGGGCTCGATTTGAAGGAGGGAACGGGAGAGAGAGAGAGAGAAAGCAAACAACCAAGGGAGAGAGTTCACCTAACAGCTGCAGTCTTTTTTTTATAAACTAACCTCAGCGATGCTATCCCATCATTTCTGCCATTTTCTCTTTGTTAGAAACCAGTCAGGAAATTCAGGCCACACTCATGGGGATGGGGTTGGGGGAGGGGGGCATCACACAAAGGCAGGAACACCAGGAAGCCGGGATCTTTGGGGACCATCTTTGAAGCTGCCTGCCACATTGCCCCTAAGGTATGTGGGACCCCAGACAAATATGTGTTTGCAGGATCTGTCTGTACAATGGGAAGAAGAAATGCATTATAAAGTCATGGGTCCGTATGCGGAACTGTGATTTATTGAGGAAGATTTAGAACAAAGTAGGGAAGAGGCACTTAGGTATTTGTTTCTTGTCCGCCCAAGGCACCTGAAGAACCCTTAGTGTCCAGGCTCTACGTCTTCCTGTTCTGGTGCAGGAACCAAGTCCTGATGTCCTTTACTGCCAAATATGCCTAAAAAGGAAAAGCAACCAATTTTTCACTTCTATGTAGAGAAGAAGCCAGTTTTTCACCTCCTTCTGCGTTTCCTTTCCCCAAATGTCATTTTTATGACTCACCCAGAGTACTCACAACGTTGCAGACAGCAGGTGTGGGAGGGTTCTCTCCCCCACATCAGGCAGTCCTCTGCGACCCCAGCTGGGTGTCCTACGATTTAACTCAATTCTGGCTCAGATCTGCCTGGACAGAGTGTCACTTCCCCAGGCTAAGGGTTCAGTCCCACAAGACCATCCTCCCTACAATAACTTCAGATGCCAGTCACAAGTGGCAGGTCTCCAGGTTACCCACAACTGCAGTCGGATTAGGCTCTAACACAGAGGTTCCCACCACCCCTTCCTTGGTTTTTGATTAACTTGCTAGAGCAGTTCACAGAACTCAGGGGAACATTGACTTAACATTTACCAGTTTATTACAGAACATGATAAAGGATACAGGTAAACAGCCAGATGAAGAGATACATGGAGGCCTGTCCGGGAGGGTCCCAAGCAAAGGAGCTTCTAGAAGTTCCTGGGGAGTTGGGGTGCATCACCCTCTCGGTGTGGCTGTGTTCGCCAACCTGGAAACCCTCTGAACCCCACGCTATTGGGATTTTGATGGAGGCTTCCTCACACACGCACGATCTGTCATTAACTCCATTTCCAGCCCCTCTCCCCTATCTAGAGAACAGGAGGGATCAGGCTGGAAAAGCTTCCTTTTTAAAAAAAAAAAGATTTTATTTATTTATTTGACAGAGAGAGAGATCACAAGTAGGCAGAGAGGCAGGAAGAGAGAAAGATGGGGAAGCAGGCTCCCTGCTGAGCAGAGAGGAAAAGCTTCTGATGATGCTTTGGCCTTTCTGGTGACCAGCCTCCACTCTGGAACCATCCAGGAGGCCCCCCACCCCCACCCCGAGTCACCTCAATGGGATAAAAGGTGCTCGTAGTGCTCTTATCACTTAGGAAATTACAAAGGTTTGAGGGGCTCTGTGTCGGGAACCAGGAGCAGAGACCAATCTGTGTTTCCTATTATCACACAGTACCACGGCTCTTTAGAACCTGTCTGTACTGGAAAAACCTAGATATTTTTACCTCGTCAGGTCCCTACACCGTTTATTTAACGCTGGTCACATCCTCCTTGTGACATTGCATTATCCACTGGGCTGCCCATAAATACTGGCTTCCAGAGACGACTCCTACAGGAGGGGTCCCTGTGCTTTGTCAACAGGGACCACAAAAGCAAGTCTTCTGTCCAGTACGCAGGAAAACGTAGACAATCCTGCATTTTCTGGTCATGTTACATTTAGTGTTTGGAATTTTATGGCAAAAATATAAAAACACACATCTTCTAACCATGTCTTCTCCTGAATTCTTTAAACAACAATCACTGCATTCCTAGAATGAAATCTACAGCAACCTCAGTTGGACCCCTGCCTTCCACACTCCCACCACCGGTAGGGCAGAGAGGCAAGGGGCCCATGGCAATGAGAAGTGTAGTCCTGTTTGTACTAAGAATGTCCATTCCTCGGGCGCCTGGGTGGCTCAGTCGGTGAAGTGGCCACCTTCCGCTCAGGTCATGATCCCCAGGGTCCTGAGATCGAGCTGTGCGTCAGGTTCCCAGCTCTGTGGGGAGTCCGTTTCTCCCTCTCCCTCTGCCCCACCCCTGCTTGTACCCTCTCTCTCTCTCTCAAATGAAAAAATAAAATCTTAAAAAAAAAAAGAACCAAGGTTCATCAGGGCATCTGTCTGCCCCCATACCTAAGGTTAAGGGGAAGAGCATCTCCAAGAAAGAGAAATGGGGATCAGAGTCCGCACGGGTCCTGGTCCAGATCTGGGCCGCCTCATTCAAATGGTGCTCCTGGCTCTGGCCAGTCCCAGCCACCAGAGGGGGTTTTAGACTACTTTGAGGAAGGCATTCAAAGCAGGGGGCACCCTGCGGCTCAGGGACCAGAGCAGGGGTCCTCCTTGCACTGCCTGGGACTTACATGTCAAATACATAAACTCCATATCATCCTGCTTTAGGAAACTATTAACGTTAATGTGTCCTCTATTAGAGAGGTAGTTTCAGAATGAGTGCAGGAATTCTTTAATATTCCTCCACTCAAGTGACATTACTTAATCCCCCTTCCCTGGAGAGTGGGCCAGACTCAGTGTCTCATTTCTCATGAACAGACTTTGGTTCGGTGACAGTGTGTAGCTTCTAACAGTAGCTCATAAAATGCATCCGTTGAGGCTTCCTTCTTGTTTGTTCTAGTGTTCCCGCAGGTTCTATTGTGCTCACTCTCTCTTTCTCCCCCTTGTCACCTGCTCTAGGGGAAGACAGACACCTTATTGCAAGGACGTATCAAGAAGCCGTTTGGAGGGGCCCATGGTAAGGAACTGAGGATACCCACCAACAGTCAAGGGAATAAACTTGAAAGCAAACGAGCCTTTCAGTGAGACCCCGAGCCACCGTTCTGGCTGAAACCTCTCGAGAGAGCTGGAGGGGGAACCACCCAGCTAAAACAGTCCTGGACTCCAGCCCTTGGAAAATGTGGATGATAATAAATTGTTGTCGTTTTAAATCACTAAGTGTGTGTGTGGGGGGGGGGTGATTTGTTCCACAGCAAAAGATAGCTGGGACAAATGTTATTGGTTAAAAATGTTCGATAACACTCTGTAAATTACGTCTCCAGTTCACAGGTGGGATGAAGTAGAGGAAACAGAAGGAGTATATTGGCCCTTCTGACAAGGAAAGATCTTCATGTTTACGTCTGTTAACTGTTGGGCGCCTGGGTGGCTCAGGTGGTTACGCCACCACCTTCGGCTCAGATCATGATCCCAGGGTTCTGGGATCAAGTCCCACGTTGGGCTCCCTGCGCAGCAGGGAGTCTGCCTCTCCCTCTGACCCTCTCCCCTTTCATTCTCTCTCTCTCTCTCCAATAAGTAAGATCTTTAAATAAAATTAAAAAATAAGTTTGTCAACTGTTACCATTTATATAAATGTTGTGCTAAAAACTGTTGTATCATTCTTAGCCCCCACCACCAAAGAGCTATTGAATAGTTGTTATTCACCGTGAGTTATTGGATATATTTAGAAATATGAAACTGCATTAAGAGACTATATTTAAATTATAATTAAAGCTTGCAAAGAGTTTATTCTTGTTTTCCTTCCAGCTAATCTGGGTGTTTATGTTTTTGTACAGAGGTTGCTTTGCATAGACACACTTGAAGATGCAGCAGAATTCTTAACCAGCTTAGTGAATAAGGCAGGGCCATGAGATGTTAGGAGCTGGGATCCCTGAGCCAAGGATTGGGGGATTTTAGATGTCACTGCTTCCAGCAATCACCTCCCAGGGCTAGGATGAGGCAAACAACATGTCTGGAGTGCAGAATTATTTTTTTATTCTTATTTTTTTGAGATTTTGTTTTTAAGTAATCTCTACCCCCATCATGGAGCTCGAACTCACCACCCTGAGATCAGCATCACAAGCTCCACCAACTGAGCCGGCCAGGCGCCCCTAGAGTACAGAATTTAAGGAGACACTTCAACTAATGAGTGAATAAGCAAAAGGTGGTCTATCCCTGTGGTGGAATAGTATTCAGCCATAAAAAAGAATGAAGTACTAATAATACACGCTGTCACATGGATGAAACTCAAAGATATCACTCAGTAGGGAGAACTTGAGGTTGCCAGGGAACCCCAGAAGGAGATGAAAAATGGAGACAACATAGAGAAGGCAAAGCTGAGGAATGCAGGGATTTCGAGCCCGTGGATCCAGCCTCGTCCAAAGTCAAACTACACCTGAACTTCCTGGTTGTATGCTGCGGGTCCGGAACTCAGAAGAGCAGCCCATCAGCGATAATGGCTTACCTCTGCTCCTCTTTATCTGTGGTTTCAGCTGGAAGACTAAGACCGGATCCCCTGAGGGCTCCCTCCCCCCAGGGCGACAGCTAATGCTGGTTGAAGCCCACGTCTCAGTTCCTCTCCACGTAGCACTTTCCCCACAGTTGGTTTAGGCTTCCTCGCAGCATGGTGGCTGGGTTCCACGTCCAAGCATCCTGAAAGAGAGAAAGGCAGGTGGAAGAACTATCGCCTTCATGACCTAGTTTTGAAGGTTATGTAGCATCACTTCCCCTGAACCCAAGGCACTGAGGCAGGCACAAGTTCCTCCCCAAGTTCAGATAGCGAGGAAATAAGATTCTGTTTCTTGATGGTGAGTGACATGGTTCCAGAAAGGCAGACAGGGCCAGAAATACTCCTGGGACCATTTTTGGAAATTATGATCTGCCACACTAACCACAGAAGATACCAGGCAAGTTGTTTTACCTCTCTGGGCCTCAGGTTCTTCATCAGTAATGTGAAGATAATAATAGTGTCTTTAGTGTAGAGACAGAATCACATGAGATAAGGTATAGAATGGACTTAGCATGGTGTCTTCAACATGACACGTGCCCAGTGAAAATTAGAAGTTATTGTCAATAGGGACGCTTGGGTGGCTCAGATGGTTAAGCGTCTGCCTTTGGTTCAGGCCATGATTCCAGGGTCCTGGGATAGACCCCTGCATCAGGCTCCTTGCTCAGCTGGGAGCCTGCCTCTTCCTCTCCCTCTGTCTGCCACATCCCCTCCTTGAGCTCTCTCTCTGTCAAATAAATAAATAACATCATAAAAAAAAAAAAAAAGATGGGGCGCCTGGTTGGCTCAGTGGGTTAAGGCCTCTGCCTTCAGCTCAGGTCATGATCCCAGGGTCCTGGAATCGAGCCCCGCATCGGACTCTCTGCTCAGCGGGGAGCCTGCTTCCCCACCACCCCCAGCCCCGCCTGCCTCTCTGCCTACTTGTGATCTCTGTCTGTCAAATGAATAAATAAAATCTTAAAAACAAAAAAGAAAATCCATGTATAGGGGCGCCTGGGTGGCTCAATGGGTTAAGCCTCTGCCTTCTGCTCAGGTCATGATCTTAGGATCTTGGGATCAAGTCCCGCATAGTGTTCTCTGCTCAGCAGGGAGCCTGCTTCCCCCTCTCTCTCTGCCTGCCTCTCTGCCTACTTGTGATCTCTCTCTCTGTCAAATAAATAAATAAAATCTTAAAAAAGAGATTTATTTATTTGACAAATGGAGAGGGAACACAAGCGGGGGAGTGGGAGAGGGAGAAACAGGCTTCCCGCTGAGCAGGGAGCCCAATGCGGGACTCGATCCCAAGACCCTGGGATCATGACCCAAGCCGAAGGCAGACACTTAACAACTGAGGCACCCAGGCACCCAGGCACCCCCATTTCTGTTGTTTTAAGAAAAAAAAAAAGACTCAGCAGACATTTACTGGGCGCCTACTCTGTGCCGGGCACTGGAAGTAAGATGGCCTCTTGGGGAAGGACCTGACCCTGAGGAGCAGGCTTCCATATGGCAGTAAACCAGTAAATGGAGGGGCCTTGAGAATGATGGTGTGGTACCATGTAGAAGATGTTTTGTGTCCAGGGTCCCCAAGACCACCCTGTTTCGATGATTCACTCTGAGTGACTCCATGTAGTTGTACTCATGGCTGATTTTTTTGTAGATTGTATTCATTTATTTGTCAGAAAAAGAGAGCACAAGCAGGGGGAGCGACAGGCAGAGGGAGAAGCAGGATCCTCACTGAGCAAGGAGCCCGACACGACACTCGATCCCAGCACCCGGGGATCATGACCTGAGCCGAAGGCAGATGCTTAACCGACTGAGACACCCAGATACCCCTAAAGATTTTTTTAAAGTAATCTCTGCACCCAGCATGGGGCCCGAACTCACAGCCCCAAGAGCAAGAGTTGCATGCCCCACCGACAGAGCCAGCCAGACACCCTGGAGCTTGTCATCTAGATTACAACAGCTCTTTCCCCTTGTGTTGAGAAAGTTCCAGCCACCTTGACCACGACTGTGACACCAGAAGTTGATGTGGGAGCAGAAGGCAGCCCTACATGGACATGACCTAACAACTCACCCCAAAAGGGACATGTGTATTGGGGTGGCAGTGATCAAAACCTTCCTTTGAGATGTGACATGCAAGGAAGGCATAGTAGACAGCGGTTGATGACGTGAGCTTTGGAGGAAGACGCTGACATTCAAGCTGGATTGGACTTGTGACTCAGAAGCTCTTATTGGCATGACCAATGCTGCTATTTAGTAAGTATTTGAAGAAAGCTTTATTTTTTTAAAGATTTTGTTTTTAAGTAATCTCTACACCCAATGTGGGGCTTGAACCCACAACCCCAAGGTCAAGGGTCACACGCCCTACTGACTTAGCCAGCCAGGCACCCCAATATTTGAAGGATGCTTTAAAATGAAATGTTTACCCATGGGAAAGTTGATTTGTCAAGTCTCAGTTTCATCATCTGTAAAACTTATGATGATAATAATATTCTCACCAAATTGTTCCATACGTATACATAAGGATTCAATACGTACACAATAAGGATTAAGGTGCCGCTCCTGAGGCCTGGCTCCAAAAAAGACTACTAGAATTCAATTTAAATAGTCAGGGGATGAAGGACCGTGAACGGAGGGTTATATGAATTTCGGTCATTTCCCGATGATGCTGAGTCATTCTGGGGCTGCGCTAAGCCAGCAACTTTCGAAGTGATGGAATTCCGAATGACTGGGCGGGAACGAGACACTAAGAATGTTCTCATGAACCCTTGTAACAAATCTCCAGCACTAACCATGTGTTTAGATTTGTGGTAGTTGGATTCTGGAAAAGGAGTGCATATTTAATAAGCACTCGCTGACCCCATATCAAATGGCCAGACAGTAAAACATGACCTAGTTCAGCATTTGGCACTGGCAAAGTGGAAAGACTCCAGAGGCACTTATAATGCTAAATGGAGCAGTTCATAATAACGTTCTAACGGCCATAAATCTCTATGTACTAAAGAGTAGAATGGCAAGATGTAAAATGTTTAACTTCCGGTAAAAGCAAGAAATCAATGATGGAAAAACAACAGCAGTAGGAGGCTTTATATCAGCCTAGGATAGACGTAGTAGACACAGCAAAAAGTGTAATTAGGGGCGTCTGGCTGGCTCAGTTGGAAGAACATGCGACTCTTGATCCCGGGGTTGTGAGTTCAAGCCCATGTTGGGTGTAGAGATTAGTATATAATATATATTTTATGTATGATATATATATTATGCATATGTTTATAATAAATATATGTTTATTAATATATAAACACTAATACAATAAACTATAATATATAACAAATTTATATATCTAAATATATAATATAATTAATAAGGCTATATTAAGTTTATTCTCTTATAATTATGAATATGTCTTTTAGTCAATGACCAGGGAACATTAATAGTTATTGACCCTCATATTAGGCCACAAAGAAAAGTTCAGTAAATTCCAAAAAGTAGAATGGATACACACCACATTCTCTGACCATAGTAGGATCGACTTAGATTCCTTAAAAACTTCAAACAATATCTGTCCTAAATAACTCTTGCATCAATATAACAGTACACCAAAATTTGCAAGAAATCTA